GGAGGCTGGGGGGGCGGGGTCAGGGGGGGGGGTGGTTTATTTCAAACGGAGCTGTCAAAAAGAACATGTTTTTGTGTTAATTAACTTGCAAAAAAATTCCAATCCAAAAATAATAATCCTCTCCATTCACTTTCAGCTGCTCTCACACAACGACTGACCACCAACACACCCTGCTGGGCGTGGTAGGAATAACAACAGCTGAAGGAGCAGTTCCGTTAGTCCGGTCCTTCTGCTCCAGGTTCAGTCAGGTTATTCCACTGAGTTGTTGGTGAAATGGACACGTGATCAGACAGGTTGTCAGTTTGAATCTTGTCCTCGTTTGTGCTCTTCCTCTCCTGATTCTTCTTCTTCTATCTTTTCTACCTTTGAGCTCAAACACCAGCCTCTGATAAAAACATCATCACATTCTCTTAAACAGCTAGGCTAGGCTAACCTTTCTTTATCATTATCATCATTATTATTATTAAACTTTTGCACATACATACACACGTTTGTGCACATACAAAAGCAATTTCAATCCGAATTCATTTTGCTGTTTAAATATGAAATATAAAAACATGTATTTTATATTATATGTTCCATTCATATATACAGTATATATAAATACAAATAAATAGAAATAAAAACATACCCTCACACTCTACCTTTTACAAAGGTAGAGCCGAACAACACCGCCCTCTACTGTTCAATGTAAGCATTACAATTCAAGTTTTTATTAGTAAAAACTACCAGGAAAAAAAAAAACAAAACAAAAAAACCCCCAAAACAACGAAGACATACAATAGGCTCGGCAACAGGAAGTGAGTTGAAAATTTCAAACTAAAACAAGAAATCAAACCATACACTCAAACACAAGTACATTTAGATTTGTTTTAATTGAAAAGAACTAGAGATACATCTTTGAGAGGAAATGTATTTGGTCTTTTGACAAGTGTCCGAAAACAACGTTTGTTTAAATTATTTTATTAAAGAATGACAGCGTGTTAGAGTCGTCGGAACTCATGAGGCGTTCAGGTGTCAATAAGTGTCAATAAATCTATAGTCACTTTCACACTGAAGCACACGTCCCAAGTACAGGACCAGCAGTTGTGTGTGTGTGAGTGTGTGTGTGTGTGTGTGACCCGTCACGCAGCCACTTCTCCTCTTCCTCCTAACAGAAGAGCTCTGACCACGTGTGTCGACTGCGTTCCCGGGCGATCGTCTCTCTCTCTCCGTGTTCTTGGCATCAGCTCTGCCGGAACAAACATACAATACAGGTTAGGAGCTCGTTTTACAGGACGGAGCTGCAGTCATGGTGCAACACGTTCAGTCAGTCAACGGAGGATGAGTCACACGTCAAGGCCGCGGTGGCCGGGATTAGGTTTGCTGAGTCTTCACCTCGGGTCACAAGCAGCCATTGTCTCATCAGCCAGGATCGCACACTCAGGTACCGCACGGTCTTCATATTTGACTGACAGCCCCAGGTGATGGATGCCTCTCTGGAGACTTCCACTCACCCCAACAACTGGTTCTTTGTGGGCGAACTCACATTTCAGAACACGCTAAGAACAGCTATTTCAACCTGATGACGCAAACGTGTGTAGACACCAGCGGACATGCACCGCTGATATGGGCTGTAATTATATGATTCTAAAATGTTGAAAAACCAAATGTACAAGATAATAATAATTAAATTAAATGTTTTACCTATAAAAAAACAAAACAAAAAAAAGAGGATTTCAGAAGTGATTCATAGAAGAGTCTGAGGTGTTCAGAGGTTCCTGACAAAAAATATATAAAAAATATAAAAAATATTTTACTTAATACACAGTCTGACCTTCAGTATATAAAATATAAATATAATTAATAATGAACTAAAACTGAACATTACAGAGAGGTAAACTTCCCACCTTAGTTCCAGCTGAACATTCTTTTTAGTTTAGAAAAAAAGCCCTCCTTCTGTTCTTCATGCTTTTCCTCTTTTGGCTGTGAACTGCTGCTGCCCCCTGCTGGGCACAGATACAAACACACATATTTTAAGAAATTGCACTGAGACATACAGTACTATAGAACGTCATAACTCTCTCAGGATCAGAGCGGTTTGTTCTCCAGGCTGGAGTGATGTCCTCATATAAACGGGGGTTGAACTTTGACCCTGACCTGCTGTTGGATTCACACCGTTGATGGTTCCCACCACGCCTGTTTCATCTTCCGCATAACTCTGCATGAGAGAGCGCTGCCTACGGGTGAGTTTCCTGCAAGAAAAACAGGAATGAAAAAATGACACACAGTGAAAACAATTCACACTCAAACACTCCTTATGAACTAACACCCCCTAGAGGAAAGTGTGAGTACAAGATTATAAGACTAATCATAACTCCCTTCACACACACTGTATTAAAAGATCAAATTAAAGAGGGTTTGTGGCCTCTTTTAAAAATTTTAAAATTCTTTCAAGGCAGATTAGAGCAGGAACTCGTCGGACGTCTGAAACACCGTCTCAACATTTAACGCAGTTCTGTTTTAGGTCTCGACATCCTTACGTGGGAACTTTGATCTTGATGTGAACGTAGTGATCTCCGTAGCTGCTCCTGTTGAACTGTTTGATGCCCTTCCCCCGCAGCATGATCACATGATCTGCCTGGCAACTGGGGGGAATCTGAAAACAGACGTTGGACAATTTAGAACGTTGACAAAATAAGGAAACGTACTGTATATCATCATGATGGTTAAACTCCTGCCTGGATGGAATACACCTGTGATACAGCAGAGTATTTCTGTGCTACACCTTCAGCCGCTCACTCACTGTTATGCTGACGCTCTCATGGAGACCCTGTGCTGTGACCGTGCCCCCCAGGATGGCCTGGCCAATAGAAACGTTGACGTCGGAGTAGACGTTCACTCCTTTCCGTCTGAACACTGCGCTCTTCTGGACCCTAAATGTAATGTAGACCTGTTTGTTCGCTATCGTCATGGCAACCGTTTGACCATCCTCCACACCTGCGAGAAAACATCAAACACACGACATTGAGATGTTTTTTAAAATTTTTTTCATCAAACACACGACATTGAGATGTTTTAAAAAAAAAAAAAATTATCTCAACTATGAAATTATACAGAGAACGTGACGTCAAGTGACATTAGACTTGATGATAACGGACAAAAGTTAGAACAGAAAACAACAGTCGTACAGAGTGTTTCTTCAGAAAATAAATAAAAAAGCGAACCAGGATGGAAACCTACCGGCAGGTACTGACACGGTGACCGACTTCTCAGTCGTGATTTCACACGAACCTCTGCACAAAGAGCAGTGTGTGGTGTAAAAAGTCCCTCTGCCGCCGCAGCGTCGACAGGTGTGCCTGGCTATGAAAGGGCCTCGGCCTATGGTCTCCTGCAGGGGGCGATACAGGCAAATCTGCTCATGTTTCACATTTTCATATCCAATAGGGCTGGGCATTGTTACGAATCTCACGATCCACTTCATTCGATATTAATTTAAATGCTTTGACATCGATACAGTGGCAGATAATTATTTTAGGATTTATTTCAATAATTATTCCTGTCGTTTCATGTCCATATGAACAGCCATGGTAGAACAATAATACTAGGACATATAGTGTACAGCCATGGTAGAACAATAATACTAGGACTGAATATAGTGTAGAAAAGTGGAAAAAGCGCCCCCTATTGGCCAGGGGCTTGCATCGATTTAGGATAATGTTGCTGTACCAGCCTTTTCCCAGAATCCTTCCTGACATTTTGCAGTTCACCGAGGTACAGATGTTTTTCCTGTGGTAACGATGGACGGTTCCTGTTGAACCGGCACAGCAGGACTTACCGTCCCAGTTCCGTTGCAGTAGTGACACACCGACACTTTGCAGCCCGGCTCGTTGCCCTTCCCTCCACATCTGGGACACGTGTCGCTGATGTTCATTGACAGCTTCTTCTCCCCACCTTTGGCCGCCTCAGCAAATGTTATATCCATCACATACTAATGAGAAAAAAGACAAAAAAAAGTTAAAGTATGTTTGAACTGATATCATCTAGAACATGAAGCGTCAACTTCACACGATGGTGTAGATTTGGTAGAGATTGTTGGCAGGACTAACCTCAGGTGGTTGGTCAAACAAACTACTAAAACTTCCGAAGCCCATGTGATCAGTGAAGTCCTGGAAGATCTTCCTGTAAAGCTCCTCAGGGTCTACATTTGCCCCCTTGGCTCTGTAGAACTGCTGCTCCGCAGCGTCGGCTCGATTGGGGTCAAAACCTGCCGCTCCGTAGGAGTCGTACTGTTTCCTCTTCACCTCGTTCCTCAACACCTGAACGTGGAGGAGTGAGAAAAATAAAAAAAAGTGAAAATAACCTGCAAAAACCTGCAGTTTGGGGAAGAAAAAAAAAAGCAAATTGTGTTCTTGGCGTGTTTCGTACCTCGTAGGCTTCGGCCAGTTTGGTAAACTTCTCTTTGGCCTCCGAGTCATCAGGGTTGGTGTCTGGATGGTACTTCCTGGCCATCTGTGAAACAGGAAGTGAGATGTTGAAGATGATTGGGTTTGATTTTTCTGTTTTGAGCAAAGACTTTTATTACGGTGTATTACTGTTTTTTCAGAGGTTCTGAGCAATGACTTGAGCAATGATTTTTCAATAATTACTGCTGCATTTCAGATGGATAAAAACAACTGACTGGTTACTAGTTTAAAGTGAAGCTCAGCAAAAAACAGAGGTAACACAATTGGTGCACCATTCCTTGGTGGATTTATAATCTGGGTTAAAACTTTTCTGACCATCCATTTGACTAATTTACAGGAGGAAAGAGGACGTGAACAGGTCTCCCACCTTGAGGTAAGCATCTTTTATCTCCTTCTGTGAAGCCGTACGAGAAACCCCTAAGACATCATAGAGGCTCTCTTTGTTTTGAAGCCTGTTGCTGGTGTGAAGACATCGACAGGAGGAGACATGAGGGCATTTCCTCCCTGAAGTAGGTGGGATTTAAGACAAAGAAAACATGTAAATTTCAGAAAAAAAACAACAACAACATTTGCAAAGGCTTATATCTAAAGTCGTATTGCCTTAGTTTATATCTATACATTGAGAGGACAAATTCGTGGCGGTAACTTAGACATTCTCCACGTATTGCCTTAGTTTATATCTATACATTCAGAGGACAAATTCGTGGAGACAGAATTGCAGTATAGTTTCTGAACATGTATCGCCTTTAATGTGTTTAGACAAACTACAAGTGACCAAGAACAACCAAAGACTGAAGATGAAACAGTGACACTGATGTTTCACAGACCGTCTGATGCAACAACAGCGACTGTTAAGCCATTATTTAGTGCCATTTCAGCATCATTTCAAATTACTTACTTATACTAACTAACTGTTTAAACCGGAAGGACAACAGAACATCAACGGAGTCGCTAAAATAAACGTATAAAATGTAGATTGCAGACTAGTTTAGTTAACTTCAGACAGTTAGCATCCTTACCTGTCACTCCCCCTTTCAATGTCACAGCATTCCCGCGTCTGCAGGACCCCACACCGACCGCTGTCCGTCCTCCGTGAATCTGTGACACTGTACCGGAACAAACGCTCGCATGTCTGACGGAGACAGCGAGAAACCGACCGCTGAACAGGCCATACGAAGGTGCTGCTGTCAACAAACGTGCAGTCAGCCGGGTAGCGGAGGACGCCATTTTGACGTCACTACCGGTGTGAGGGCGGAACAGCGCCTGAGCAAAATAGTTTTGCTGAATTTATTTGATAGATTTTTTTTATTTGTATTGTGATGTCATGAAGTAAACGTTTCTATTTAAGGGGAAAGGGATGAAAACATGTCATGAAGTAAACGTTTCTATTTAACGGGATGAAAATTCTGGAGAATAAATAATTTTATACACTGAATATTTTTGTATACCTGAAGTCGATGTTTCAGGCGCGGACTTTACTTTACTTTTTCCGGGGCCTGCCACTAGGAGGCACAATAACACGTATTATTTACGCCTTGTATTTAATTTTATACTGAGTAAATTGTTGAATTAAAACGTATTAATCACATTTATATTTAACTATGTATAAAAATAATAATTTTCCAGTATTTTCTTAGTTTTATGATGAGTGACGTTATCTTATTATATGGAATAAAACTCCTTAGAAAAGCTCCGTGAGAAATGTCCAACACTTCTAGGCCACTGCATCAAACAAACATGGTGTTACGACTGGTTTTATCTTTGAAAGATTATATGAAAAAATAATTTTTAAAAACTCTTTAAAAACTTAGTAATATTCAAAAAACAGTAGGGGGCGCCATTATGTTGTAAATGACACGACTATTACTTTGTACTATGTCTGAAATGATTTTAAACAGGTGCTAATGAGGATTTAATAATAATAAAACATCTCTGTTAATTATCAGAGTAATTACCATCTTATCTTCTTTTAAAAAGCACACTTTTTGTCCCCGGCCGAGGGTTCAGAGGTCATCTGGAGGGAGGGTGGATAAAAAATTATCTTAAGCAAAAAGTCAGTTTTTTTTTTTTTTACTTCATTATTGCATATTGTAGAGTTCATAGTAAAACATATTATTTAAAGAAAGTAAGCACAGGTGAATCTTTGTTTTTTAATTGGCTGTTCAAAATTCTTCTGGAAAGTCATGGAATAATGCAGTGATCAGACCTGAGGATGTGTTTTGAATGAGAGGTGAAATTCCTTGTGGAAACCTGAACCAGTCCAGACGTTCACACCTGAACATCTGAGGACGAGAGAAGACAACAGTCCAACAACAGCCGTCTGTACCTGCCTGACTGTCTCTTCATGGTATGTTGTATATAAAGCACTGCGATTAACAACTACATGCCTGTAGGGATGGCAGGGTCGTGTGTGTGTGTGTGTGTGTGTGTGATCTGCTGGAAGAAAAGCTCACATTCTTGGAGATTTCCCTGCCATCTCTCCTCCTCTTCTTCCTCTTCCTCTTTAATCTTTAACTCCCGTCGTATCCAGGACGACCTGTTCCCTGCCATCTCTCCTCCTCTTCTTCTTCATCATCTTTAATCTTTAACAAAACATGATCACAGCTGAGTCTGTACGTCAGGAATGTCAAAAATAATTCATGAGAGTTCTACGTGTACGAGACCGTCCTCACAGATGACACTGGACCACCTCGATGCTGCCCCCGCAGGGCAAATATTTGAGAATGTATGTGTAAAGATGTAGATGATGTGAACATTGTTCTCTCTCTTTTTTTTTTTGTCTCAGACGTGTTTGTTAAACCACGGAGACTAAATGTCCGATCAGTCCTTGTTTTTAATCTCTTCAGCTGTGGAGATAGAGGTTCGAAGGTCAAGTCACGGTGGGAGGTGGGAGGTGGAGCCCTGCTGTCAGTCACCGCTGTGATCTGCCACACCAACCCTAACCCAAACAAAAACCTACAATTTCATAAAACAAATCCCAGCCTCGACTTCTCCCGTACTTAAATCTCAATTTTAGTCTGGAACATGTGGAAACACGTGTTTGACGGCAGATTTACAGCCGCACAAATGTCTCTGAGACAAAGACACATTTTGCACAAATTGCAAAATGACGGTATTTTAAGGATTCTAAAGTCAGAGTCTCAGAGGAGTTCTCAGGAACTGAAACACTTAAAAAACGTGGATTACGGTGTTTCAGAAAGAGATTGAAAAAAAAAACAACAACCGAAAAAATAAATATATACTGTTACTACACTGCTGTGATCAGACCCTGAAATAAAAAATAAAAAAAAGGTTCATGTGGTAACAATATCTGAGGTAATGCTCATTATTAAGGCTTAAGGAAATGTTTTTAAGAGTTTCTGTGTCAGTGTGTGTTTTGGACCAGAGTTTTATATATATATAGAATATCAACCCTTCATTGTGGGTTCTGGATGAGGACTCATTAGACGTAATAAGGTAATTCTCCTAAAGGATAAATACACTTAATAAATGTCACCGTGTAACATAAGGAAGAAAAGATTTGAGAGAAAAAGAAAAAAATCTGCAAAAAAAACCCCAAAAAAAAACAAAAGCCCAAACCGTCCCTGAAGTGGTCTGAACCTGAACACGCGCCAAATAAATTCAAAGTAACATTTAAATCCCACTTCAGGACGATCTCTCCTTTAATGATGACGTCACTCCTCATCATGAGGTGATGAGGTCTCTCTCTCTCTCTCTCTCTCTCTCTCAAACGCTCAGTTGTGAGGAAACGTTGACACGTTTGTGCAACGGGAGCCAGACGTGTCGGATGTGACGTCAAACCACTTCACACCAGGTTACACCAGGACAGATGTAGATCTGGTTCTAGATTTGGATTGGCTGAGGCGATAAGACAACACTGTGTGTGTGTGTGTGTGTGTTATTTTGAACTAAACCCTAAAATAAAACAGTACCATTCAACAGGTGACTTAAATGAAAAATAAAATAAAAATAGTTTTCAGTTATGAACAACAACATAAAAATAAAAGTTTTTCCACTAAGAACTTTGTTTGTTGTTGTTTCCACAAATTATAACGTTGTTGATTTTGCCCCCCTGTGGAGCAAAAGGGTAATACACCCTAAAATGGAACAGACACACTTTACAGAAAGACCCTCAGTTTCCACCAGAACACAGAGCAGTGATCTTCTCACTGTTAGGCAAACACCCCCCCCGACCCCACCCCGCTGACCCCTGACCCCATCACGGCCCCTCTTGATTCTGACTAATTAAAAAAAGGACCAGTTTGTGCAGTGACTGTGGGTCAGACTTTCTCTCCTGGTTGTTTTGACCAATGAGAATCATGAGGTTTCTCCTCCACGACATCCCAAAAAAACAAACGAGAGACGGGAACAAGGAACACATGACGCCCTCGGACACAAAGTGTGTGTGTGTGTGTGTGTGTGTGTGTGTGTCCAGAGGATGATCTCACAGCCAGAGGAAGCTGCAGAACTCACATTCATCTTTCAGGAACACACAGCTGCTCTTATCGCTCCAGGCCACAGCATCTGCAGAGGGGAGGAGGGGGAGAGAGGGAGGAAGAGAGAGAGGGAGAGAGAGAGAGAGAGAGAGAGAGAGAGGATGAACAGCAGTCAAAGTCGTCCAGTCTTCCTCTCTGTTTTGGAGATGCTGCTGCTGTTTTGGTTACAGCCCGAGCTACTGAGTTACTCAGTGTGTCTCACAGTGTGTCTCTGTGTTTGGTACACACACACACACACACACACACACACACACACACACACACATCAGCAGTAGTGGAGGACAAACTTCATTTGTCTGTTTGTTTACAATGACAATAAATGTGATTTTTCTTCACTTGTCGTCACTGGTCTCAGACTGACTGAGGTCTGATGACGGATCCTGTTTCCATGACTGTAAATGAGCTGCAAATCAACGTGAACGTGAAGTGAAACCATTGAAATTCTCCCTGACACTGATCTGTCCCAGGATCGTCTCCGTCAAGTCACTGGGACCTTGTTGTGTTTAAGTCTCCACTAACTGAAGGTCGGGTCACGGACGTGTGATTCTAATGTAGCATGTAGCAACATCAGAATGTTGCTACATGCTACATTACACACACACACCCGTCTCTGCTCCAGATCCTGACGGAGGAAGACAACAGTCACGGACGTGTGATTCTAATGTAGCATGTAGCAACATTTGATGTTGCTACATGCTACATTACACACACACCACCAACACGGTTCATTATCCTCCGTCCACGCCTCTAACCACTCAGCCAATTAACACGGGCGGAGCCGGAGCCGCCCTCAGCTGACACGGGGTGAAAGGCAGGGCGCTCCCTGGAGCGTTCACGTCCAGAGACACGTCACCGTTTCACGGCGTGTTCGCGCCTAATTTATCGTCTGCAATTAACGCAGACCACAATCTGCATGTTTCTGGATTGTGGAAGGAAGCGGAAGGAAAGCCACAGACCGGAATGTGAACTAATGACGTTGTTGCTATGAGGAAACCGTGTTCGGAGCGAACCACAGATTGATGGACGGACGCAGGGCTGAAAAATGTCTTTTAACATAATGAAATTCTTGGTTTGCCTCTGATCACTTAGAAAATGTAAGAAAAAAACAAAAAAAACAAAACAGTAGAAAAGGGAATGTGCTGTTGGTAAAAATAACAGCTGGACTTTTTGGAGGATTTCATCAGGTCGAGGAGTGGATGTCGATTCCAGAGCGTCTTTTTCTGGAGCGGCCGTAGAAAAACTCCATTGTCAGTTTCCACCACGTCTGAGCCACAGGTTTGTGAAACTCATCGCGGCTCTTCTCTCCGTGTGTGGTCAGACATCAGAATGATTGAGAGACGACGTTTGGAGAATGGACGGCATCGCGGCAGGACGAGCGTTGGTACAGAAATAAAAGGGATAATTCACAGTGTTCGTTGTTCACTCTCTGAACTCCAACGACTCCGACGTTGACCTCAGTGAAAACAGGATCTCTGAAATGAAACCTATACCAGATACTGGCACTAGGGGGCCCCGCACTTTATTCAAATACTCAAAATTGTGCTAAAAACACTGCCTCTTTAGGTCGTTGATAGAAACAGGTCGACAGGTGTTTTATTTTCACACTGAACTGAAAGCTCTGCTCACTTTCTGTTCAGCTGACTTTTTTAAATTTAACTTTTTAAAAGATCATTTTTTTTATTATAATTATTTTTTACAGAACAATTTATTTCCTTTTGGCCTGAGATACAGTATCTCTCCCCTGTTAATGAGAAGAAAATCAAAC